TCATTTTGCTCAAAATTAGCAGAAGAACCATTAGCTACTTGGTTCGGCGCTGAAACAACTTCGAAACAAAAAAATTGCTAAGTTAAACTTCTCAAGGAGGTGAGAATCCGGAAGGAACCACTGCAATTAAGAAAAATTCCTGTGATTTTCTTCAATAAAATAGGATAAAAATGTCGGAATGAATGCCCAAGTCCACAAAATAAAGAGGTTCGTGATGAAGTAGTCCTCCCCATGAAAAAATAGAATTCTGACGTAATCATTTAGCAAAACTAAACTACGTCCACTGAACGACAGCGATATTCAGTTCGATTTCTTGAAATGGCTTATGAAGGACAAATGGCGTTTAACAGTTCTGAATTAAATGTCTTTCATCAATAAGCAGATACGAGGTTGTTAATATAGAATTTATTAGAACACAATTGCTGACGTTTCGGCGGTTTCGCCTTCTTCAGAGCCTGGAAAGGTCAAATTGAGATGTGATCTACTCAGCCAAACACTTTCACAACCCTAGCAGATAAAACTTGACAATTCGATTTGCTTTCGCATAAGAAACAGCTTCATTCAAACACCTACCGTTTATTTGTTGTAAGTATTTAAGTTAGTTGGTGGATAGCCGCCGCACAGAGTAATACATGGTCGATAACTGTGTCCATGTCAGGTCATAGGATCAGCCTGAGGTATGGCGCCAGGTCACGCGTGATGACAAGACACTCCTCCTTGCGGTTCATTTTTGAATTTTTGGCATTGATCCAAAACGCTTCAAGAGTTTTTCGCGCTGATGTTTTCGATTCCTGCGTAAGGATAGTGACTCCTACCTCAAAATCTTCTCCGTTGTGTTCTTGCATCCTATGCGCGCCTAGTGGAGTATTTTGTTTTAGTTTAGATTTACCGACTAGGTGTTNTCTTTCATCAATAAGCAGATACGAGGTTGTTAATATAGAATTTATTAGAACACAATTGCTGACGTTTCGGCGGTTTCGCCTTCTTCAGAGCCTGGAAAGGTCAAATTGAGATGTGATCTACTCAGCCAAACACTTTCACAACCCTAGCAGATAAAACTTGACAATTCGATTTGCTTTCGCATAAGAAACAGCTTCATTCAAACACCTACCGTTTATTTGTTGTAAGTATTTAAGTTAGTTGGTGGATAGCCGCCGCACAGAGTAATACATGGTCGATAACTGTGTCCATGTCAGGTCATAGGATCAGCCTGAGGTATGGCGCCAGGTCACGCGTGATGACAAGACACTCCTCCTTGCGGTTCATTTTTGAATTTTTGGCATTGATCCAAAACGCTTCAAGAGTTTTTCGCGCTGATGTTTTCGATTCCTGCGTAAGGATAGTGACTCCTACCTCAAAATCTTCTCCGTTGTGTTCTTGCATCCTATGCGCGCCTAGTGGAGTATTTTGTTTTAGTTTAGATTTACCGACTAGGTGTTCTTTTATGCGGACACAAAGCGGTCTGCCCGTTTCGCCAACATATTCGTGCCCGCACGCTTTACAAGAGATCAGATAGACTGTACCCGAACTCATGCAATCACCGTCTCTACCATTTGGGCAAATTATGCAGTTTTTTGTTGTACATAGACGGTCGTACAGGCGGTTGTGAACTAGATGGCGTCTTAGAGTGTCCGGTGGTAGTTCTGAATTAATTGTACTAAATCTTTCCATCAGATTCCTGGAGCAGGACCAAAGACAGGAAAATCATTAGTGTAAACACTCAGGCTGAGAACTCTTCCAAATATGGTTAGCGAATAGGGCCAACTAGCTGCTCCACGCTGTCCATTGTGTTAAACAGAGATTGCGAAACTGTTTTAAAGCCAAGGAATGTCATCTTAGACAGTTTATATGAATCTTGTTTCTAGTAGTGCTGTTCCCGCGTCATAAAATTTCGCACTTCTTTGCCTATTACAAAATTCGAGCGCTGATATCCGACGTACTTTCTCAGATCATCGTATACTAAATTTGCGCAACGACTGCACAGTGAAAAGGAGTGGGTTGTTTTGAGTAATTGTTATTTCAGCAAAATGCCGAGCCACCACCTATTCCGCAAGATTACAAGGCAAGTTTGAAACAGGCACTTTGTATTTCGAACCTGTACTCTGCATAAAGGCGATCAATAGATTTTTATCTGAATTGAACCTAAGAAAGGCTGAAAAGTAGAACAAACATAGTTGTTGAATAACATATTACAAGTGCATTTCACGCCTACTGCTGTGCGTGTAGGAACGGGTGCATGTGGCGCAGTAGTCAGAGGCGGCCTGCAACACACACGTGGAATCGATCTCCGCGCTCATGGCCCACCGAGCCCTCCATCCCTCCGGGGACAGAACAACACGACAATTTTCGTCTCCATTCTAGTGCAACTTTTTTTGAGACTCCGGGGTCGGCAAATTGGTACCGGACTTGTCTAGGAGGATAGCAGCATTGGTTCAATACATCGGCAAGCAACCGCAAGTTGTAAAGGCCAGATCTGCATTCAATCACCTCCAACGATGCTTAGTGAAGTCGAATGCATGGCGCATCCCTCAGAGATTGACCAAGGCCAATATCTTTTTACTGCTGTGCGTGCAACTCATTGATTGGAGGTTTCTGGCAGCACAAGCGTGGTTGTTTGCTCCATTTCCCGAGCTTCGAGGTTGGCAAACTGCGCTTGAACTATTCTAGAGTATGACAATTCCGTATAAATGTGACACTCCGCAAGGCCATGCATACGCAAGATACGCATTCAGTCACCTCTACAATGCTCAATGGAGCCTATTGTATTGTGTGTCCTTTATCAACTGATCAGCACCGAACGCTCTGTGTCTATCCTTATATCTCTACACCTGTGGCACTCAGCAAGGAAGTCTATCTGTTCCAATCATAGCTTAAGCTTCCTGTTCAGTTGTGGCTGGCAAAAACTTGATGTCAAAACTATTTTTCGACCTAATGGTGTCCTAATCGTTTCACATCACATGCAAAGCTTTACTGGATTGGATAGTTGCGTAACAGTGGTGCTGAAGCCACATCTCAAAGAGCTCGAAGGACACAGTCAACATTAATGATGCTAAGCTATTTGCAAGGCCCAGCGAGAAAGGCGAAATGAAAGAGCCGCATGGTGTGGTGGTGAACGCATTAGTCACCGGAAAGAACAATAGCGTGTTCGATCATCACCGCAGACACCTGCGGTCCACAGTCGTGCAAATATCTCAGCATCATTGCTCTTGTATTTCGCATAATACCCTGCCGTGAAAAACTGTGATAGAGGCAAATAGAAAGTTACACTCAAACCTAAGTAATTTTTTTGGTTTAATTATTCAAGTTTGAGCTGTGACAACAGAAATCTGACTACTTCAACTAAACACGGGAACCATGACATACATCTAAGAACAAGAAGAAAATGTCGTCCAAAAAGTTACACTGACAACATTGCTCTCTATTTCGATTGTTTCTTATTCCCGAAATAAAGAAAAAGGATAAAGCCTTCAGCGTTGATCAATCCCTGACGAATGTGCTACGCATTCGACTTCATTAAGCATTGTTTGGAGCTGACTGAATGCACATCTAGCTTTTGCAATGCCTCGCGGTGGCCTACCGATGCATGGAGCCAGTGCTGCTATCTTCCCGTACAAGGCTGGTACCAATTTGCCGACCCCGGAGGGACGGAAGGCTTGGTGGGCCAAGGGCATAGGGATTGATTCCACGTGTGAGTTTCAGCGCGCCTACGACCCTTGCGCCACACGCGCTCCTTACTGCACTAAGGATTAACAATCGATAGTCGTCACAAAAAGAAAGTATCAAAATATTTACGATCTATGAGACTTACGATCCATGAGAATCCACGTGCATCGATTTCAAGGTAGTCGATAAGGCGTTGACCGCTCACGCTTGGTATCATGGACTTATACCACGTAAGGAAGTTGAAGATATGTTAAAGGTAAAAAATAACGTCGACTATAAATCAAAAACGGATAAAACATGGCAGAAGATTTTGTTTATTCAGATACAAGGTGATTATCTAGTTCGGAAAACGACAATGGCCAGACAGATTGCCTACTGTTTGTCGGTGAGGCATGTGAATGATGTCAAGCACGTTCCGCTTGGCTACAACTATATCACGGGAATGTGGACATTGAAAGATGTAGGTAGACTTCAAATGGGCATGATTCTTTCAAAAGCCAATCGATTGCTGACCATTAATTAAGCGTGCGATAGAATAGAATGAAATGAAAAACAGTAGTTAACAAAGTGAATTACTCAGTTCAACTACGTGTAGCACTGTGGCCAACTCCATCTACTTATTCTGATTCGCATTGCTCTACGGGATCTAAGTTGTTTTCTTGAAATTGTAAAGGACATAAATGGTCACTGATCTCATCACATTATAGAGAGACTCAAGCAAAGATCAGTACGACTCCCTATTCCTTCCCGTATCGAGGAGGAGCAGTCCTCCTTTGCTCAAAGCACATTGAGAAGAAGAGCACACCTAACAACGTATATTCTGACTATTCTTGACAGAAAAGAATTTACTCGTCGTACTCTTCATAAATCCGTTCAACTTCGCTTGAACCCGCGAAGTCAGACTTTCTCTTTTTAGACGAGCTTGCCAATACGGTGAAGGTTTGCACCATAATGCATTCAGTACGCATGAAAAATACCTTGTCACTCTGAGGGGGTTAGCCAGGAAAAGCTTAAGCCACGAATAGCTTACCCTATCGTTGTTATACAAAACCAAAAACAGCCTCTTCTTAGAGGTATCTTTGCAAAACCCGGATTGATAAGGTTTGCAAGTGGATCTTTGTGCGTCGCTTTCCTGTATGATGGTTTCTTCTCAAATCGTTAAACGGCCTGTACACCGTAGCCAATGGCGAAGATTTAACATCTATTACCAAAAGGTGTAACAGCATAAGACGACAGCACGGAGCAATAATGAGAGACCACTCGAACCGAAATAATTCCTTGAAAGAAAATTCTCTGTCTAGATAACAAAGCCATCGTTGAAAGAACTTTTGGATGTATTGGTAGCGACCGAGAGACACATACCGCCGTCGGGAGTCGTTCTTAAGAACCCTTTTCCGCGGCCGGACTACTATTTTCTGCATGAACATATAACCATTTTGAAAAAACTCGGACGTAAGTTTTGACTCTGTTAGTCAAATACCAAAATAAAACTTTCGTAAAAGAAATGTTATCTTCAACACGTAGTAGCAAGCTGAGCACGGAATAGTTTGTCCGACGATAAATCGAGAACGAACTTTGATCTCATCAGTAACTTTTAGATGGAGAATTCGGTGAAGTGAATTTGGGTAAACTAAGACTGAAAAATGGTGAGGAAGTGGATGTTGCGGTAAAAATGCTGAAAGGTACCCGAATAAAGAAAACTCAGCTTTCGGCGTTCTTTGAGGTAATCGGAGTCACTTTTCTTTGTTCCAAATGCCTCATATTTATAAAAGAGAACGGGTCACAGGAAGCGAAACTAATGCGCCGTTTCGACCATCCAAATATTGTGAGGTTCTATGGAGTTGCACCACAAGAGGAACCAATAATGATTATTCTTGAATTAGCCAGTGGTGGATCATTGAAGGCAGGATTTCCTTATCAGATGTTACTAAAAATTTAGCTTTGAAATAGAACTACGCACTGAGAATAAAACAGTTTTAGAGTTACTGCAAGAATCATTCCGATATTCCACAGTCAAAGCTTTTGCAGTTCGCCACTGATGGAGCCCGTGGAATGTGTTATCTAGCGGCTCGTCAGGTTTCTCATTCTTTTCATCCATTCACTCTTTTCGCTACGGAGACCGATGATGAACTTTGATCATTAGTATATCACCTTAACCTCCTTCCACACACAATCAAGCAAGAGCATTAAAGCTCTCTCCAGCCCTAGCAGCTAGCGGGAACGCTGGAGCCGGTAATAGCAAATGCTATAAATTTACGTGTAATTCATACAGAAATTTGACTTCCGTTTAACCTCAGCGTGAATAATCGGCATTTTTGTAGATTACTGAACTAGTACGAGAATGTTGTACAACTCGGCTAACTTTTCGGTACCTTTACTTCCTTCACAGCGGCGTTGAATCAAGTTGATTGTTCACAGCAGTTAACCATTGCGGTGGTGTTATCGTAGACGAATCCAGTCGAATCCAGTGGAATACAGCACGCTTTACACCATTTTCATGTTAGCTCAATAAAAGAAAGGATAAAGCTCTCAGCGAAAGATAAAGCCCTGAGGGATGCGCCATGTATTCGACTTCATAAAGCATCGTTTAGAGGTGATTGAATGCAGATACTGGTCTTTTACAATAGCTCACGATGGCCTACCGATATATCGAGCCATCCTCCCAAACAAGTCTGGTGCCAATTTGCCGACCCCGGAGGGATAGAAGGCTTGCTGGGCCATGAGCGCGTAGATCGATTTCACGTGTGTATCGCAGAACACTTCCGACCACTGCGCCACACGCGCGTTGGCTTGATAATCCAAGGAAATGTTGTTAATACATGCACATCTGAGACAGCAGTGAAGAATTCAGGCCTATCACTGCTATTCAGCTACTCTTTAGTGGGGATTCTTCATTGTACAGAACAAGATTGCTTCATGTTGATATATAAAAAACGGACATGGTTCAACTAGGACTTCTGTAGCACTAGAGTTCTAATGTAGAACATGCATTTTAAAAATCCAAGCATTTATTATTAGACACAAAATGCTTTGACATTCTCTGATTCTTCGACATTCTGAATCTGGAGACTCTGAACGTTTGTGCCAACAATTCCATCTTGTAGGTGATTCATCGTGATATCGCGGCCCGAAACTGTTTACTCGGACATAGGGATGAGCTGAAAATCTCCGACTTTGGACTTTCAATCGCAGATAAGACGGAAATGAAGCTCGATAAACTGAAGAGTGTGCCAATAAAGTGGCTGGCACCGGAGACGCTGCGGCAGGTGATCTTCAACCCTAGCCAATTTTCGTTGATAAATCACACCTGTTTGCTTTTCAGGGGATATTTTCAGTGAAAACTGATGTATGGAGTTATGGCGTATTGTTGTGGGAGATTTTCGTTCAATGTGCATCTGATCCATTTCCTGGCGAAACGAACGCCAAAGCAAAAGAACACATTCTGAACGATCCGGTTCCGATGACTGCACCAGCCGGTAGTCCTAGAATTGTGCAAGAAGTGATGGATGTGTGCTTCGTGAAGGTAAGAAAGATAGCGCCGAATTTGTTCAGGAAAAAAAATAAAGTGCAGTGAAAATCATTTGCTATTCCGAATAAGTCGTTCACTAAGTATCCATTCTTCTCAAGTTAACCGACTTTTTGGTATTGAATATTTACTCATAGCACTTTTTCGGAAAATCTGCATAGAAATCACCATTAAAATTTCTTAAAGGAGGCCAAAGTAGAAGCTTTAAAATTGTAGAGTGATAATTTCACAGTAGAGCGGGCGCCTGTGGCTCAGTGATCGGAGGCGTACTGCAACACACACGTGGTATAATCGATCCTCGCGCTTGTGCCACCCCAAGCCTTCCATCCTGAGAGGTAGGCAAATTGGTATCAGACTTGCCTGGGAGGATAGCAGCTTTGGCTCGATACATCGGTAGGCGACCGCGAGTTATTGTAAAGGCCAGATATGTATTCAATCACCACTAAACGATGCTTATTGAAGTTGAATGCATGGCGCGTCGTAAAGGTTTGATCAACGCCGAGAGCTTTGTCCTTTATGCTTTGAAAAAAATTAAGTACCACGACAGATTTTAGGCCAACTTTTCCAAAAAAGGTTCGAAAAATGCTAAGCACTTCCGAGTAGAAAATTTTATCGGAAGAACAATTCACCTTTTTACAGTGGCCGTTTCAGAATCCCGAAGAGAGAGCGGATTTTGTGAAAGTGCTGAAACTTCTTTCGCCGAAAGAAGACCCTCCTACGATACCGTTAGCGCATTTTCAGACATACTGAACATCATACGGCCTCAGTTGAATTGCTTCTTAGCTAATTTGCAGGAATACTTAACAAATCGATAAGAAACTCATTATGTACGCATTGTCACAAAACTATCATTAGATACTGGAATAAATTCTTGAATTGAGGAATGTTCTTGACGATTAAAACCCTTTGTCGTCCCTTGTGTGATAATCAGTTTCGATTCGGTCGATCTTAGTTCGAGCAAGGCAGCACCGAATTTGTTTTGACCTTAAATTATTAAAAATACCCTGTATTACCTTAATACAGCCTTGTTCTCGTCTAATTTCGAAGGTGGGCCATTTTCATTGTGAGCGTGAATCGAACTCTATGTTAGATGACAATATCTGCATTCTGTTCAGTAGATGGATGATTTGTTCCTACACATCGTTAACAACGAAGAAGATATTGAATTATTAGGATTTAAATGATCTGAAACTTAAAGAAAGAAAATTAGAGCTGAAAGCCAGACCGCCAGTAAAGAATGGGGTTGTCGGCACTCTGGAACGTGGTTCTGACTGGAGCCTTTTCGAGAAAACTTGGACTTGCACTAGTTTTGTTTTGTAAGCTTTTCTAGTGTAGTAGCATCGTGATACTACTAATACTTTTGGCTTCGAAATTTGTAAAAAAAAATAACACTAATGTTGACCATCCCTAACAAGACAGATCACTAGGGGTAGAAAGATATACGTTAAATGCTAACAGAAGCTCTTCTTTGTTCATCGTTCAAACTCCAACTAATCCGTTGAAAACAGAGTACCTCGATAAGATCTGTTCGTGTATGTTCACGTATACAAATGGAAATGAAAAAAGCACTTGGTTTGGATCACTCCCACAGATGGTAGATGGTTTTTAAAACAAAAGTCTACCACGTGTAACAAAATCCACAATTCTTGTAAAATTAACTGAAATATGGTGCGTTTTTGAAAAAAAACTCGTCCGAAACACCCAAGGCATCTGAAAACTGTTCATTTCCAGCTGAAATTTTTCTGTGGTGAAGAATCCTGTACTAATCAAACAAATCTGACCAAATCGCAAAAACACAACATGCTCCGGTCCAACAATTGGTTACCCAATCGAGCAAAACATGTTGCACAGGCCCACTGCACCGCCTACCATCCAATACCATGGTGCCACACCGACGCGCCACCTGAAACCCCACACGGTAAATTTGTCCCCCTCCCGACCATACGCTAAAATCCCTGAATGATGTACCATTCATTTCAATTCACCAAGCACCGTGAAGGTGACTGAATGCATATATAACCTATACAGTGACTTTCACTGGCCTACTGTCGCATTAAATCAGTGTTTTTATACTCCCAGACAGCTCCAGTAGGTCTCTTGACCAGAAAGAGACAGTGGTATTGGCTAGATTGCGGTGATGGGTTGGGTTCAACCAACAACACTTTATATGTTGCACTTTTAACCATTTCATGGATAAAGTTTGCCCTTTAAGTGACGAAAAGAAAGCGAAACAAGCTCGGACAAGCTCTCATATTAATGACGAAAACAACCTTTTCAACCTTCACATGCTTAGAGAATATTCATCAAATTTCCACGTCGGTATTCAACCTGTGGAATTTACATGCCTCGTTCTTATAAAGACGCTTGGTCCTACGAGAAATGGTCCCAACTGAGGTATTATGGGGACCGGTACTTCCTCATGTATAAACATCGCGACCACCAATTCACAGAAAATATTTCTCAGTTAACCGCGATGTAAGCTACTGTGTAAATCAAGCATGCATTCAATCAACTCCATAATATTTAGAGTTGTCGAATTCCTGGCACGATCCTAGAATATAGATCAACACCGAACGTCTTGTGCTTTATGCTCTATGTCTAATCATGGCAGGCAGCGGCATCATTCCATGGCTTTGACTAATATTGAAGATTTTCCATTTTTATGAAGTAGATCTTTCATCGCTTTACCAGTTTCTTAACTCGATTTAAATCGGACTTAAATCACTTCTCAATCAATTGGGTTCCATATACGTCCGACATTATAGTTCTCTCAAGGTGCTCCTCGGTGCTGGGCTGCGATATACAGCGGGAGATTCATCCCACTGGCAGAGCCTCCCTAGCAGAGAAGCAGTCCCGCGTTTCCATCAAGGAAGCCCAGCTATAAGTGAACCAATACCAGGAGATGTCACCGTTCTGGTACCGAACTAGTCGTATGGTCGCCAACCTCCCTCTGATCCACAACGGCGGTGACTGCCTGTGGTGGTGAAGACCTGGGGCAAGCTTTCGTTAGGTTGACCTCGGGACTCTGGAGAGCCACTGTGGCTAAACTACCAAAACTCCGAAAAAAAAAATGGAAACTATTCTGTGGCCCGCACAACCAATGTACACGGGCCTTCAAAGTATCCAAGTAGTGCTGAAACTATATAATGTACTATTAGCATGGGCTCCGTTTTCGACAAAACTTCACTGATTAGCTAATATCTAACGACAAGTCGACAATTTTCAAAATGCTTCCATCGCTGGCAACTCAGTCCTCCATTCGCTTCTGCAATCGCAGATGTCATGTAAGGGTCATCTGATCAGCTCCATGCCATCCCGAGAGCAGTTTATACTGATAGAAGGACCAACCAGCACATTGAAAGTTTGGAAAGGCTAGTATCTTGGGGGGTGCTGTTTAGATTTTAGCGGACGATGGTACCAAACTAATATTATCTCATGGTTTCATCGTTCAGAACAAACTCCCATACAGATTTGATCTTGACGTCGATATAATCCAAAACATTTTGTTGGATTTAGCCCCATGGTAACCTGTTGTTCTGCAAATCCCTAAAATTGTGAGCATTTCTGTGCACTGGAAATAGTCCTGTGTTGATGAAACTAGTAGGCCTAGCCTTCACTCTCAACGCCTCGAAGCCCAAGGTTCGCACAACTTGAAAGGAAACAGACCATTGTTCTGGTTAGGATTGGCTTCTATCACGCCAATACACTTAGCTCTACTAAGTGTTCGTTGTCTATGTGATATGAAAAAAGTATTCCATAGGGCGCAGTTACGAGGTCCGGTGGTTCCAGTTAATTTTCTGTCTTTCGTGAGATGAGCATGAAACCCTGCAAGATTTCAATTGACAGCTCTTCTTGGGATAAAATGTACACAAAATGGAGGATTCTGTGACTCCAACTTGCACCGTTTGTCATTCTCTGTTGAAATAAGGAGTTTGGAGTCTGCGTTTTTTTCTTGAGCAACGAGAAATGCGCTCTACGGCTATATTACTGACCGTTTCATGAAATTCATGCTTTCATTCATTAATAAAGAACAGTCCATTCAGTGATTTCTTTGCCCGTTTTCCTTTTTTTTACTTTATGTACTAGTAATGGGAATAGTTCCAATCCAGAGGACGACATCACTTACACTTAGGAGTTATGTAAACGTGTCTGCATAGACTTCGCAACTGTAGTGGATCAATATCGAGCACTGTATTGCTAAGATTTTCGAATACATAAGTAAATTAGAGCTAGAAATTGTCCGACAATATTAAGACCTAAAGTTGAACCTAACGGCGCGTGTGGTGGAGTGGTCGGAGGCTTCCTGCAATGCGCATGGGATTGATCCCCAATGCACCAGGCCCACCAAGTCCTCCATCCTTCCGAAGTCGGCAAATTGATGGGGAGGATAGCAGCACTGGTGCGGATACATTGGTAGGCCAGCAAGAGTCATTGTAAAGGCCACATATGCATTCACTAACCTCCAACGATGCTTAGTGAAGTCGAATACATGGCACATCCCTCACAGATTGATCAACGCCGAGAGCTTTATTTTTTAAGTCACATCCATAGCTACTTTATATGTTTCTGGACGAACGCTTCCACTCAGATTATGGGGTCTCCTGTCAGTTATCTATGAAGTACATGTTCTCCACACAAGACTTCACAACGATCATGGTTGTTGTATGTCTAACTCCTCTGTGTTTCCTACGTTTTCTCTTCAAAGTGGTTGTATATTCTTGCAATTCAGTCCTAATGAATAGAATGCATATGAAATAGCGACATCCGGTGCTGGTGACAACCTGGGACAGAATTTGAAATTTGATCTGCCTGACCTCTGGATTCCAGAGAACTACAGTGGCTAAACCGGCAAAATTCGGAAAAAGTGGAAATTATGCTGGAGCACGCACAGCCGGTGAGGTCGGGCCATCCAAGTATTTTATGAAATCCAATACGGACGAATATTCTACTCATCGACTACTGGTTATTACTTTCCAAACATTAGCAACAATTTTTTGTGATGGTCCTTGTGAAGATTAAGACGTCGAGGCCTTAGCCGAATAAGCATCTCTGTCAACCTCGTAGTAGTTAAACAATCCAAGAAGGTATTAACGATATGTTCGATAAAGTCTATCTTAAATAATTTCTGAATGCTCATAAAAGGACCACTCTGGTTTTGATTCTTATTACGTTAAATAAAAAAAATAAAACGTTCTTATTACGTTTCCTTCTTATGATAACATCGTGCACGACTGCATTTTAAGGTGATAAGTCTGCTAGGCTTTGGATTTCTCAAAGACATTTATGGGATTTCACCTATTTACCTCCTATAGCCATGTTGCCTGTCCTTATAAGTTGTGACCTACCCCATTCGTTTGTTTCCCTCCCGAGCGTGGTATGTAGAGGCACCCTATTTCGAGGGTGAACTGTGGCTGTTATGCAGTGACAAAGATATCAGTCTCGGCTTGGCTCATCACTTAGAGGGCGCCGCGGGAAAATCGTACATCCGCTTATGCTCCATGCCTCTGTTCTTGTTGAGCATGTCGTGAGTTGTCCTCTTTGCACGATTGGATCGTCAATACTTCGCACCTGTTATTGGTGGATCATATAGGTCTCGCTGGTGAAGGATCCTAGGTGTCGAAGAGGACTAATTAACGTCGCAGGGTATTGGATGGCAGATCAATAACTGCCACAGAATTTTCAACGTCACTATTTCTTAGGCATAACCTTATTTAGACTTGAAACATTATTTTGATGAAAAACCCTGCCTT